TGAAAGTAGATTTAGTATTCAAACTCAACAGCTCCTTTGGCACCCGAAAATGCAAGATTGGACTAAGAAATGGACACACTTTATATCTCACTGCACCAACAACAAAAAATCATCTTGTACATTTTTATTATCATTACTTAATATGTGCCTAATGATGCTCAGCGCTCCATAAATTTATGCCTCTAGTTGTGCCACAATTTTCTCGCATAATATACATTTCGCAGTTTTTTTTAAAGAGTTAAATCAAAGGTAAATAACTCGCTTTCCAATACGTATTTGAAAATGGGGTAAATGATTTGGAGTAAACAAACAATTAAGATAAATTTCAACAGGTAGGAGAGAAGAACATAAACAACACATTTTAAAGATTATTCACAAGATCTGGCAGTCAGGAGAAGCCCTGTACAAAACCACCCATCCAATAAAAGGCAATTTTCAACACTGTCAAAACTGCTATTTCACCATCAGACTTATAGTTATTACGAAAGAAATGCCATCGGAAATGCATTGAAATATATATGCTTTAGATGCTTGAAGCTAACATTTAATATTAGTACGATTTGTCGGTTGCGTTTTTAAATATGTCTTGTGATGGTCATTAAATAGAAACGGTACTATCTTTCTGAATTTTTTTAGGATTTAACAGGTGTCCAAGTTTTCTATTTATATAAACTAAAAATTAAAATTAAAATTGGTAGATTACAGAAATATTCTATATTCAAAACTACTATAAATTGTCCAAAAAAAAGAAAAAAAAAGATTTTTTTATTGTAAAATTGTCATAATAATGACTTTTATAATCAATTTAGTAATTTTATGCAACTGTGAATTTTTACTTTAAATTGAAATTTTTTTGGATAAAAAATGCAAATGTTTCTTATTTAAATATCTATAGAGTTCTCTATGTCGTTTTACTACGAAAATAAAAAACGGAAAGGTCATTCCTTGCAGGATGAATAACTCTTGGAAAAGATGTAATCTATTTTTATTTATATACCTATGACTAGATTTGGTCTTTTAAAGGTAAAATATTGCTTCACCATTAAAAATGCTTTCTTTGTACTAATAATGTTATTAAACATAAACAATTTAATAATTCATATAAAATACAACATTTTGAAACAGAATTTGTAAAATACTAAATAAAAAATTTTACATATCTCTTTCAGTAAGAAATATTGATTTAAAATGAGTTGTTTTTTTTATAAATAACCTGTATATCCTCTTTATACTTGTGCCTTGTGGCAGTTTCGTAGAGCAATGGCTTTTCGAGGCAAAGGTAACGAGTTCAAATCTCCGATGATGTAAATTTTTATTTATAATTTTTTGTTATTTATTATTTTTGAACAAATAGATAACTGTATTAGGATACTCTAAAAATTGCAATTTAGTCCAAAAGTATATTAAGTGCTTATCTCTGAACTATTTTTAATATTATCTATCTCATAAATAATGTTTATAGGCTGCTGTTTGACAATTTAAAAAATTCACTTCTTTAATTTAGCAGCTATCCTGATCAGAAATGAACAGAAAGACATGTCAATTTTTTTTACGTAGATCATCTAGCTTACCTTGCTAATTTTTTTAATTTTGTACTTTTTTGACAGAGGGGGACTGGCTATATGGGGCATTAAGGCAAATGCCCTGTGGGCCTCTACGTGAACTTGTCTGTATGGGTCACTGAAACGGCCACATAGATGCCATTATGTATTAAATTGTTAAAGGTTTTATAATATTCTCTTATAAATGGGTCATCTGTGCGTCGTGTAAAAAATTACATATTATCATATGATATGTAATTATGTGCCTGATTGTCCTCAATACTCTGGTCGTTTTGACACAGAGTCCGCCCCTGTTTATTAAGGATTATTTTCACAGTGTGTCGAGTCTAGCAAAATAGCTAAACCAACTCAATTTTCACCTTGCTACAGTATTAAGGAGTATTGTTTGCCTGCCAAAAAGTTAATTTGATAAATTTCAAACTTTTTTTTTCTGATATCTGAAAGTAGATTTAGTATTCAAACTCAACAGCTCCTTTGGCACCCGAAAATGCAAGATTGGACTAAGAAATGGACACACTTTATATCTCACTGCACCAACAACAAAAAATCATCTTGTACATTTTTATTATCATTAAACTTAATATGTGCCTAATGATGCTCAGCGCTCCATAAATTTATGCCTCTAGTTGTGCCACAATTTTCTCTCATAATATACATTTCGCAGTTTTTTTTAAAGAGTTAAATCAAAGGTAAATAACTCGCTTTCCAATACGTATTTGAAAATGGGGTAAATGATTTGGAGTAAACAAACAATTAAGATAAATTTCAACAGGTAGGAGAGAAGAACATAAACAACACATTTTAAAGATTATTCACAAGATCTGGCAGTCAGGAGAAGCCCTGTACAAAACCACCCATCCAATAAAAGGCAATTTTCAACACTGTCAAAACTGCTATTTCACCATCAGACTTATAGTTATTACGAAAGAAATGCCATCGGAAATGCATTGAAATATATATGCTTTAGATGCTTGAAGCTAACATTTAATATTAGTACGATTTGTCGGTTGCGTTTTTAAATATGTCTTGTGATGGTCATTAAATAGAAACGGTACTATCTTTCTGAATTTTTTTAGGATTTAACAGGTGTCCAAGTTTTCTATTTATATAAACTAAAAATTAAAATTAAAATTGGTAGATTACAGAAATATTCTATATTCAAAACTACTATAAATTGTCCAAAAAAAAGAAAAAAAAAGATTTTTTTATTGTAAAATTGTCATAATAATGACTTTTATAATCAATTTAGTAATTTTATGCAACTGTGAATTTTTACTTTAAATTGAAATTTTTTTGGATAAAAAATGCAAATGTTTCTTATTTAAATATCTATAGAGTTCTCTATGTCGTTTTACTACGAAAATAAAAAACGGAAAGGTCATTCCTTGCAGGATGAATAACTCTTGGAAAAGATGTAATCTATTTTTATTTATATACCTATGACTAGATTTGGTCTTTTAAAGGTAAAATATTGCTTCACCATTAAAAATGCTTTCTTTGTACTAATAATGTTATTAAACATAAACAATTTAATAATTCATATAAAATACAACATTTTGAAACAGAATTTGTAAAATACTAAATAAAAAATTTTACATATCTCTTTCAGTAAGAAATATTGATTTAAAATGAGTTGTTTTTTTTATAAATAACCTGTATATCCTCTTTATACTTGTGCCTTGTGGCAGTTTCGTAGAGCAATGGCTTTTCGAGGCAAAGGTAACGAGTTCAAATCTCCGATGATGTAAATTTTTATTTATAATTTTTTGTTATTTATTATTTTTGAACAAATAGATAACTGTATTAGGATACTCTAAAAATTGCAATTTAGTCCAAAAGTATATTAAGTGCTTATCTCTGAACTATTTTTAATATTATCTATCTCATAAATAATGTTTATAGGCTGCTGTTTGACAATTTAAAAAATTCACTTCTTTAATTTAGCAGCTATCCTGATCAGAAATGAACAGAAAGACATGTCAATTTTTTTTACGTAGATCATCTAGCTTACCTTGCTAATTTTTTTAATTTTGTACTTTTTTGACAGAGGGGGACTGGCTATATGGGGCATTAAGGCAAATGCCCTGTGGGCCTCTACGTGAACTTGTCTGTATGGGTCACTGAAACGGCCACATAGATGCCATTATGTATTAAATTGTTAAAGGTTTTATAATATTCTCTTATAAATGGGTCATCTGTGCGTCGTGTAAAAAATTACATATTATCATATGATATGTAATTATGTGCCTGATTGTCCTCAATACTCTGGTCGTTTTGACACAGAGTCCGCCCCTGTTTATTAAGGATTATTTTCACAGTGTGTCGAGTCTAGCAAAATAGCTAAACCAACTCAATTTTCACCTTGCTACAGTATTAAGGAGTATTGTTTGCCTGCCAAAAAGTTAATTTGATAAATTTCAAACTTTTTTTTTCTGATATCTGAAAGTAGATTTAGTATTCAAACTCAACAGCTCCTTTGGCACCCGAAAATGCAAGATTGGACTAAGAAATGGACACACTTTATATCTCACTGCACCAACAACAAAAAATCATCTTGTACATTTTTATTATCATTACTTAATATGTGCCTAATGATGCTCAGCGCTCCATAAATTTATGCCTCTAGTTGTGCCACAATTTTCTCTCATAATATACATTTCGCAGTTTTTTTTAAAGAGTTAAATCAAAGGTAAATAACTCGCTTTCCAATACGTATTTGAAAATGGGGTAAATGATTTGGAGTAAACAAACAATTAAGATAAATTTCAACAGGTAGGAGAGAAGAACATAAACAACACATTTTAAAGATTATTCACAAGATCTGGCAGTCAGGAGAAGCCCTGTACAAAACCACCCATCCAATAAAAGGCAATTTTCAACACTGTCAAAACTGCTATTTCACCATCAGACTTATAGTTATTACGAAAGAAATGCCATCGGAAATGCATTGAAATATATATGCTTTAGATGCTTGAAGCTAACATTTAATATTAGTACGATTTGTCGGTTGCGTTTTTAAATATGTCTTGTGATGGTCATTAAATAGAAACGGTACTATCTTTCTGAATTTTTTTAGGATTTAACAGGTGTCCAAGTTTTCTATTTATATAAACTAAAAATTAAAATTAAAATTGGTAGATTACAGAAATATTCTATATTCAAAACTACTATAAATTGTCCAAAAAAAAGAAAAAAAAAGATTTTTTTATTGTAAAATTGTCATAATAATGACTTTTATAATCAATTTAGTAATTTTATGCAACTGTGAATTTTTACTTTAAATTGAAATTTTTTTGGATAAAAAATGCAAATGTTTCTTATTTAAATATCTATAGAGTTCTCTATGTCGTTTTACTACGAAAATAAAAAACGGAAAGGTCATTCCTTGCAGGATGAATAACTCTTGGAAAAGATGTAATCTATTTTTATTTATATACCTATGACTAGATTTGGTCTTTTAAAGGTAAAATATTGCTTCACCATTAAAAATGCTTTCTTTGTACTAATAATGTTATTAAACATAAACAATTTAATAATTCATATAAAATACAACATTTTGAAACAGAATTTGTAAAATACTAAATAAAAAATTTTACATATCTCTTTCAGTAAGAAATATTGATTTAAAATGAGTTGTTTTTTTTATAAATAACCTGTATATCCTCTTTATACTTGTGCCTTGTGGCAGTTTCGTAGAGCAATGGCTTTTCGAGGCAAAGGTAACGAGTTCAAATCTCCGATGATGTAAATTTTTATTTATAATTTTTTGTTATTTTTTTTTTTTGAACAAATAGATAACTGTATTAGGATACTCTAAAAATTGCAATTTAGTCCAAAAGTATATTAAGTGCTTATCTCTGAACTATTTTTAATATTATCTATCTCATAAATAATGTTTATAGGCTGCTGTTTGACAATTTAAAAAATTCACTTCTTTAATTTAGCAGCTATCCTGATCAGAAATGAACAGAAAGACATGTCAATTTTTTTTACGTAGATCATCTAGCTTACCTTGCTAATTTTTTTAATTTTGTACTTTTTTGACAGAGGGGGACTGGCTATATGGGGCATTAAGGCAAATGCCCTGTGGGCCTCTACGTGAACTTGTCTGTATGGGTCACTGAAACGGCCACATAGATGCCATTATGTATTAAATTGTTAAAGGTTTTATAATATTCTCTTATAAATGGGTCATCTGTGCGTCGTGTAAAAAATTACATATTATCATATGATATGTAATTATGTGCCTGATTGTCCTCAATACTCTGGTCGTTTTGACACAGAGTCCGCCCCTGTTTATTAAGGATTATTTTCACAGTGTGTCGAGTCTAGCAAAATAGCTAAACCAACTCAATTTTCACCTTGCTACAGTATTAAGGAGTATTGTTTGCCTGCCAAAAAGTTAATTTGATAAATTTCAAACTTTTTTTTTCTGATATCTGAAAGTAGATTTAGTATTCAAACTCAACAGCTCCTTTGGCACCCGAAAATGCAAGATTGGACTAAGAAATGGACACACTTTATATCTCACTGCACCAACAACAAAAAATCATCTTGTACATTTTTATTATCATTACTTAATATGTGCCTAATGATGCTCAGCGCTCCATAAATTTATGCCTCTAGTTGTGCCACAATTTTCTCTCATAATATACATTTCGCAGTTTTTTTTAAAGAGTTAAATCAAAGGTAAATAACTCGCTTTCCAATACGTATTTGAAAATGGGGTAAATGATTTGGAGTAAACAAACAATTAAGATAAATTTCAACAGGTAGGAGAGAAGAACATAAACAACACATTTTAAAGATTATTCACAAGATCTGGCAGTCAGGAGAAGCCCTGTACAAAACCACCCATCCAATAAAAGGCAATTTTCAACACTGTCAAAACTGCTATTTCACCATCAGACTTATAGTTATTACGAAAGAAATGCCATCGGAAATGCATTGAAATATATATGCTTTAGATGCTTGAAGCTAACATTTAATATTAGTACGATTTGTCGGTTGCGTTTTTAAATATGTCTTGTGATGGTCATTAAATAGAAACGGTACTATCTTTCTGAATTTTTTTAGGATTTAACAGGTGTCCAAGTTTTCTATTTATATAAACTAAAAATTAAAATTAAAATTGGTAGATTACAGAAATATTCTATATTCAAAACTACTATAAATTGTCCAAAAAAAAGAAAAAAAAAGATTTTTTTATTGTAAAATTGTCATAATAATGACTTTTATAATCAATTTAGTAATTTTATGCAACTGTGAATTTTTACTTTAAATTGAAATTTTTTTGGATAAAAAATGCAAATGTTTCTTATTTAAATATCTATAGAGTTCTCTATGTCGTTTTACTACGAAAATAAAAAACGGAAAGGTCATTCCTTGCAGGATGAATAACTCTTGGAAAAGATGTAATCTATTTTTATTTATATACCTATGACTAGATTTGGTCTTTTAAAGGTAAAATATTGCTTCACCATTAAAAATGCTTTCTTTGTACTAATAATGTTATTAAACATAAACAATTTAATAATTCATATAAAATACAACATTTTGAAACAGAATTTGTAAAATACTAAATAAAAAATTTTACATATCTCTTTCAGTAAGAAATATTGATTTAAAATGAGTTGTTTTTTTTATAAATAACCTGTATATCCTCTTTATACTTGTGCCTTGTGGCAGTTTCGTAGAGCAATGGCTTTTCGAGGCAAAGGTAACGAGTTCAAATCTCCGATGATGTAAATTTTTATTTATAATTTTTTGTTATTTATTATTTTTGAACAAATAGATAACTGTATTAGGATACTCTAAAAATTGCAATTTAGTCCAAAAGTATATTAAGTGCTTATCTCTGAACTATTTTTAATATTATCTATCTCATAAATAATGTTTATAGGCTGCTGTTTGACAATTTAAAAAATTCACTTCTTTAATTTAGCAGCTATCCTGATCAGAAATGAACAGAAAGACATGTCAATTTTTTTTACGTAGATCATCTAGCTTACCTTGCTAATTTTTTTAATTTTGTACTTTTTTGACAGAGGGGGACTGGCTATATGGGGCATTAAGGCAAATGCCCTGTGGGCCTCTACGTGAACTTGTCTGTATGGGTCACTGAAACGGCCACATAGATGCCATTATGTATTAAATTGTTAAAGGTTTTATAATATTCTCTTATAAATGGGTCATCTGTGCGTCGTGTAAAAAATTACATATTATCATATGATATGTAATTATGTGCCTGATTGTCCTCAATACTCTGGTCGTTTTGACACAGAGTCCGCCCCTGTTTATTAAGGATTATTTTCACAGTGTGTCGAGTCTAGCAAAATAGCTAAACCAACTCAATTTTCACCTTGCTACAGTATTAAGGAGTATTGTTTGCCTGCCAAAAAGTTAATTTGATAAATTTCAAACTTTTTTTTTCTGATATCTGAAAGTAGATTTAGTATTCAAACTCAACAGCTCCTTTGGCACCCGAAAATGCAAGATTGGACTAAGAAATGGACACACTTTATATCTCACTGCACCAACAACAAAAAATCATCTTGTACATTTTTATTATCATTAAACTTAATATGTGCCTAATGATGCTCAGCGCTCCATAAATTTATGCCTCTAGTTGTGCCACAATTTTCTCTCATAATATACATTTCGCAGTTTTTTTTAAAGAGTTAAATCAAAGGTAAATAACTCGCTTTCCAATACGTATTTGAAAATGGGGTAAATGATTTGGAGTAAACAAACAATTAAGATAAATTTCAACAGGTAGGAGAGAAGAACATAAACAACACATTTTAAAGATTATTCACAAGATCTGGCAGTCAGGAGAAGCCCTGTACAAAACCACCCATCCAATAAAAGGCAATTTTCAACACTGTCAAAACTGCTATTTCACCATCAGACTTATAGTTATTACGAAAGAAATGCCATCGGAAATGCATTGAAATATATATGCTTTAGATGCTTGAAGCTAACATTTAATATTAGTACGATTTGTCGGTTGCGTTTTTAAATATGTCTTGTGATGGTCATTAAATAGAAACGGTACTATCTTTCTGAATTTTTTTAGGATTTAACAGGTGTCCAAGTTTTCTATTTATATAAACTAAAAATTAAAATTAAAATTGGTAGATTACAGAAATATTCTATATTCAAAACTACTATAAATTGTCCAAAAAAAAGAAAAAAAAAGATTTTTTTATTGTAAAATTGTCATAATAATGACTTTTATAATCAATTTAGTAATTTTATGCAACTGTGAATTTTTACTTTAAATTGAAATTTTTTTGGATAAAAAATGCAAATGTTTCTTATTTAAATATCTATAGAGTTCTCTATGTCGTTTTACTACGAAAATAAAAAACGGAAAGGTCATTCCTTGCAGGATAAATAACTCTTGGAAAGATGTAATCTATTTCTATTTATATACCTATGACTAGATTTGGTCTTTTAAAGGTAAAATATTGCTTCACCATTAAAAATGCTTTCTTTGTACTAATAATGTTATTAAACATAAACAATTTAATAATTCATATAAAATACAACATTTTGAAACAGAATTTGTAAAATACTAAATAAAAAATTTTACATATCTCTTTCAGTAAGAAATATTGATTTAAAATGAGTTGTTTTTTTTATAAATAACCTGTATATCCTCTTTATACTTGTGCCTTGTGGCAGTTAGGTAGAGCAATGGCTTTTCGAGGCAAAGGTAACGAGTTCAAATCTCCGATGATGTAAATTTTTATTTATAATTTTTTGTTATTTATTATTTTTGAACAAATAGATAACTGTATTAGGATACTCTAAAAATTGCAATTTAGTCCAAAAGTATATTAAGTGCTTATCTCTGAACTATTTTTAATATTATCTATCTCATAAATAATGTTTATAGGCTGCTGTTTGACAATTTAAAAAATTCACTTCTTTAATTTAGCAGCTATCCTGATCAGAAATGAACAGAAAGACATGTCAATTTTTTTTTACGTAGATCATCTAGCTTACCTTGCTAATTTTTTTAATTTTGTACTTTTTTGACAGAGGGGGACTGGCTATATGGGGCATTAAGGCAAATGCCCTGTGGGCCTCTACGTGAACTTGTTTGTATGGGTCACTGAAACGGCCACATAGATGCCATTATGTATTAAATTGTTAAAGGTTTTATAATATTCTCTTATAAATGGGTCATCTGTGCGTCGTGTAAAAAATTACATATTATCATATGATATGTAATTATGTGCCTGATTGTCCTCAATACTCTGGTCGTTTTGACACAGAGTCCGCCCCTGTTTATTAAGGATTATTTTCACAGTGTGTCGAGTCTAGCAAAAAAGCTAAACCAACTCAATTTTCACCTTTCCACAGTATTTAGGAGTATTGTTTGCCTGCCAAAAAGTTAATTTGATAAATTTCAAACTTTTTTTTTCTGATATCTGAAAGTAGATTTAGTATTCAAACTCAACAGCTCCTTTGGCACCCGAAAATGCAAGATTGGACTAAGAAATGGACACACTTTATATCTCACTGCACCAACAAAAAAAAATCATCTTGTACATTTTTATTATCATTACTTAATATGTGCCTAATGATGCTCAGCGCTCCATAAATTTATGCCTCTAGTTGTGCCAAAATTTTCTCTCATAATATACATTTCGCAGTTTTTTTTAAAGAGTTAAATCAAAGGTAAATAACTCGCATTCCAATACGTATTTGAAAATGGGGTAAATGATTTGGAGTAAACAAACAATTAAGATAAATTTCAACAGGTAGGAGAGAAGAACATAAACAACACATTTTAAAGATTATTCACAAGATCTGGCAGTCAGGATAAGCCCTGTACAAAACCACCCATCCAATAAAAGGCAATTTTCAACACTGTCAAAACTGCTATTTCACCATCAGACTTATAGTTATTACGAAAGAAATGCCATCGGAAATGCATTGAAATATATATGCTTTAGATGCTTGAAGCTAACATTTAATATTAGTACGATTTGTCGGTTGCGTTTTTAAATATGTCTTGTGATGGTCATTAAATAGAAACGGTACTATCTTTCTGAATTTTTTTAGGATTTAACAGGTGTCCAAGTTTTCTATTTATATTAACTAAAAATTAATATTAAAAATGGTAGATTACAGAAATATTCTATATTCAAAACTACTATAAATTGTCCAAAAAAAAAGAAAAAAAAAGATTTTTTTATTGTAAAATTGTCATAATAATGACTTTTATAATCAATTTAGTAATTTTATGCAACTGTGAATTTTTACTTTAAATTGAAATTTTTTTTGAT